ATATCAGTTGTAATCAATTTGGAGTCTGGTCAACGGAGGTCTTTCTGATCATCATAACTGCTTGCATTGGCTATTTAGCTAAGCTGGCACCATCGAATACGATCAGCTATTAACAAACAGTCATATAAGAACATGTTAAAATTAACGTCATTTTAATGTAAGCAAGCAGAAAAATTTTGTCTTGTTCACCACATGGGCCTTTGTAAATAAATTCAGTTTGAACTTTTTTTATATATCGCAATCAAATATTTCTTCGTTTTCTTTAAAATTCTTTCTCTGGCAACACGCAAGAAAGCTATTAAAGCAAAATCAAAACAACGTTAAAACGAAACAGAGTGCACATTGAAAACACATTTCGAACGGAAGATCAAATGAATTTATACACAACAAGCCGCACTGTTTCAGAACAAAACGTCAAATGAATCTTTGGAATGGAAAAAAAGTTAACGAAAACGGTTGAACTTGAGTTGTAAAACATCTAAAAAAAACCAGTGCCCTTAACTGCTGATTGCAATCGTTCCTATGTTAAATATTTCAATATTAATCCGGTAGTACTTCATTTCTGATTCTCAATTTTCCAAATTTGTATCATTGGTCATCAAGTTACACATCAATGCTTTTCATTAAAGATATTGCGTTTTACGTGCTGTTATTTTTTAAAACAGGGTGTCTTCAGACTTGCACCATCTACATCAAGAGTTAAAAAGTTGAAGGTAAAATATTTTTATTTGTTTTAATCTTCTATTGAATTTTCATATATATTTAATTTTAATGATTTCAAATCAATTCACTCCATTTTACTAATAATTACTAATTCAATTATTAATTCAATACAATTACAATTAGTTAAATAATTAATTAATTTATTAACCAGCCAATAACAATTTACTAATTCCATAACTTATTAAAATTGTAAATTAGCATTGTAGTTGTTTTTTTTTCGTACATTTTTCTTGAAAATAAACCCTACACAGGCAGAATTTGACGCCAACATGGTGAACATCAACGAGTTCGTTCGTGACGCTGCTTGTCTGTCTGGTGAGTTTCTCCAGTGAATATCTTGTTGATGATGATGATGGTGATTGTGATGTCGATGATGGTGATGATGATGATTGCGACTTTGATGATGATGATTGTGACTATGATGATGACGATGATGGAGGTAACTATGATGATGTTTATGAATACATTGGTGGTAATAGTGGTTATGTAGGGTTATGGAGAGAAAGTTTTGAAATAAAAGCTGTATAATGTTTGTTGCTCGTGATTTCATTTAGTACGTGATTTATTGATGACCGCACCATTTTTATTAGCTCCATTAATTGTGACTCTGTGTTCTGTATTATTAATTTAAATCACCACACGTTATCAGCAGTTCGTACCAACATCGCCTTTTCATATTTTCGATCGTTTGTTGATCACCAAGGTCACTATTGTAATCATTAATTTTTGCCATCATCATTATGATCGTTGTCATCATCACGGTCATTAGAACCATCATCATCGCTGTCGTCATCATCACTGTAATCATAATCATCATCTACATCACTATCATTGTCGTCATCCTGATTAACATTATCATCATCTTTATTGTCATCATCATCACTATCATTATCACCATCATCATTATCATTATTACCATCATCACTTTCAAATATCACCATCATCACTCTCATTATCATAATGTCATCATCGTCATCATCGTTGTCGCCATCCCCATCACCGCCGACAGGTGTTCTGAAGCAGTACTTGAGGGAGCTTCCGGAGCCACTGATGTTGCACGACCTCTGCGAACAATGGGTCCAAGCCTACCAGAAGTCAGTTGTCATGATGATAATAATAATAATTATAATAATAATAATAATAATTTTTATAATACTAATTATAATACTAATAAATAGTAGTAGTAGTAGCAGTAACAGCAGCAACAGTGTAACAACAGTAGCAGTAGTATTAGTAAGTAGTTAGTGTTGTAGTTTTTTTTGACAGTGTATGTATCTATGTTGCTGTTTAATTAACATCAATAGTTGCGTTATTATTATTTTATTATTATTATTATTATTATTATTATTATTGTTATTATTATTATTATTATTATTATTATTATTATTATTATTATTATTATTAGAGACACTTGTACCACGTAGAAAGCACTCACAAACACTGCATTGCATACACTGAGCTGAATGAATTCATTTTAAATTAAAAAAAAAAATGTATAATTTAATACTCTAAAAGTTTTTTTTTATTTAAAACATTTGAATAGAAAAAAAAATTGAAATAAAAATCATCCTTTGAACAATATCCATCATCATCATTTCAAATTTTTATATGAATATTTATTAGATTCCTTCCAACTCATTTTACTGTATACATTAATTGATTTTTTCTTTTATTCTTCAACTCGCTACCATTATTTGAGGCGTACTTTGTTCAAGCATGTCAGATGTTTCATACGTTTTAATGGAATCTGCCCATTATACAACACAATTTGAATAATAGAATAAAAAGTCAACACACACACACACACACACACACACACACACACACACACACACACACACACACAACACACACACACAACAAACACACACACACACAAATACCCACACACACACAAGCAAATATTCATACTTAATTATACAAATATGCGTATAACCAGGCCACAGAATGAAAGGCTGAATGCATTGTGGGTGATTGTTGACAAGTTGAAGCAAAAGAACATTGGTCACTATAACAACCTCAGGTCAGTTTGGTCATTTTTGTCATTTGTATATTACAGTGGATTACATTTTTTGTTTTTCTGTTCTTGATTTTATTAATGATTTTTTAAAATATTAACGTCCTACCTCGGGAAACTGGGTCTCTGGACGCTAAATGAAGATTGATTGATTTGATTGATTTTTAAAATATTGATAATAAAACTTTCCTACAAACTGACAAATCAGTGATTGAATCAATTGAAGTTTCTTGGTGTCTATAAAAATATTTTATAATTTGACATGACGTCATTGAAGTGTTGCAATCTGTGGTTATAAAAATTAAATCCAACAAAAATCTGTTCTAGTAAGTTGACACTGATTTTAACAATAATACTAACTCGCATCATACCCACGTGAATATGTATTTACACACGCACGCACGCCAATATGCACGCACACACTTTCGCATAAACACATGGCATACCCATTCACGCACACATACAAACACGCTAACACACGTACACAAATACACATATACACACACACAGGCAAACACAGAAATACACATACTTACATTCACGTATACATACATGTGCCTTTACTCAAACACACACGCACAAACACACACACACGTATATACAAATACTCACACACATACATTCAGATACCTGATAAAGTTCCTTGCCCTGGTGGCCAGTCACAGTGAGAAGAACAAGATGTCCTCCGCCAATCTGGCCATCGTCGTCGCTCCTAACTTGCTCTGGCCTCCCGATAACAACAGGTCTGTCAGTCAGATATGCATGGATGGATGGATGGATGGATGGATGCATGGATGAATGGTTAAATGGATGGGTGGATAGGTAGATGGATGAATGTGTGGATAAACGGATAGATGGGCGTATACATTCATGGATGGATGGTTTGGTTTTGTTAGAAGTTTGGTCACTGCAGACCAAAGTCTTTTGTCAATGATGACTTGATAAACAATGGATGAATCATTTCACAGAGCAATAAATGACTGAATCAGTTGATGACTGGCGACTGATCGATGAATAATTTGATTGGCTGGTTGTTTTTAATGTTTACGTTTAAAAAAAATGAAAACCTACATGCTTTGTAAATCAGCAAAACCACGTTCGCAAATACGTGCACACCGACTCATGAAATCTATAAATAAATAAGAACACAGAAAGTTTTGTCATGCCTCCATTGTGTGCTCATCTAATGTATGATGCATTCAAACATACGCACGTTTATACGCTTGCAAACACATACGTACGCATATATACACACGCATACGTACACACGCATACGTACACACATACATATACATACACACGCATACGTGCACACACACATGCACACACAGAGGTGACGTACAAGCCACTGGTGTGGTGACTGCCATCGTTGAAATCCTCATCTCCAGCTCGGAATGGTTCTTTCCAGGAGGTGGATTGTTTTTTTTTGTTTGTATTTATTCGTTTCTTGTTTGCTTCTTTTTATTTCTTAATAATTGTTTGCACTGTTTTGCATTTGCGTTGTGATCGGGAATAATTGATGATGTCGTGTCTGTGTGCAATTGTATGCCTCCTTGAAGGCTGTCCATTGATTGTTTAGTTATTTTTGTGTTGCAGTTATTCATGTCGTTCTATGGGTACATTATCTGAAATGTTTTATTTGTACGTGCCTGTTAGTGTATGTTTGCTTTGCTATGGTTCTACTTATTTGCTTTCACTACCTGTCTTGTGTGTCGGTTTTTGTGAAATTTTTAATACTTTCTTTGTTGGTTTTAATACTGTCTTTTTGCATTGTTTTTTTTTAACTTTTTGGTTCTTCGATACAATTCAATTTTTTTCACTGGCTCTTTTCTGTATTTCCTTTTTGTGGTCATCACTTTTTAAATATCTCTTTCCATTGTACCTGCCTGTAAGTTCTCACTTTCCCACTTTCTCGCAGAAATTGATTTCGCCTCGATGGCCTCATCAAACGAAAACTCCCCAATTTCGAGTCACCGATCGTGCAACACCATCACCACCACTAGCAGCGGCAGCCACAACACTGCCACGCCAACCACCACTCCCAGCCACCACAACAACAACAGCAGCAACAACGTCAACAACAATCATCATCAACCGTCTCAACACAATTCGTTTGCGGTGAAAGAGGCCTTCCTGGCTTCAAAGCCATCCTCCTCCTCCTCTTCCTCCTCATCTCACGATGTGTTCGCGTGAGTTCAGACGCTGGGTGGTGTTCATGCATCAGTTGATTGATCAATAAGTTAATGGAAGGATGAATGAATGATTTGCAAAAAATAGATAATGGTTGCATGAATGAATAACTAGATGGATGAATGGATAGATGAATGAATAGATAGGTAGATAGATAGGTAGATGGCTAGATGGATAAATGAATAGATGAATGAATGGGTAGATGGATGAATGGGTAGATGGATGAATGGGTAGATAAATGAATGGATAGATGGATGAATGGGCAGATGGATGTATGGGTAGATAAATGAATGGATAGATGGATGAATGGGCAGATGGATGTATGGGTAGATGGATGGATGGATACACAGACAAATCAATGATGGTTATTATTAGGGATAGTTTCGATTAAATATTTCATTTAATACCAATACTGATCTTCATATTTCATCAATTTAGTTTGTTCTTTTAATGCAGCACATCATCGGGTGATCCATTCCCGAGGGCACTGCGCCCACCACCACCAACCCCTATTAAAAATCCTCCTTTGCCGCCACACTCCAAGAGGAAGGGCATGGCCCCTCTACCTCCTTCGATGACGTCATCAGACCCGGGCTGGGTGGGCAACAATCATCAGAGGTCTCTCAGTACTTCTGTGAATTTGCAGGGTGAGATTGCTGGTGACAAGGGGGCTAACAATAGGTCAGTTATATTTTTTAATAATAATAATATTATAATATTATTATTATTATCATCATAATATTATTATTATAATAATATTATTATTATTATCATAATATTATTATTATAATATATTATTATTATCATTACGAGTCCTTATTATTATAATATATTATTATTATCATTTTGCTTGATTGAGGAAACCATTTAACGCTTGTTTAAAAATGGCCATAGTGTATTGTTACTATTATTATTTTGTTGTTCTTATTGTTATTGGTTTGACAGAAAATAAATTACTTAAGTAGGATGGGGGCTGTATAATTTGCTCAGTCATACACACATTGTCGATTATTTGCAATCAACATGCCAACCTGTTTATTAACTGTTTGCTGTTCAACAAATCATTCAACCAATCACCAACCTGTTGTTTAACTATTTGTTGTTCGCCAAATCATTCTATCAATCACAGGTTTGCAGTCATCAACGGCTCACTTGCCTCCAGCAGTACTGACATCTCAACATCTCAGCTGTCTGTGGCGAGTAGTTCTGCTAGCAATAACAACAACAACAGCAACAACAACAGTTCAATCAATAGGTCCAACAACAGCAGCGAAAATGCCTACCAGACATTAGGAGCTGGAGTTATGGGGGTTACAAATGTTGGGATGGCCATCTGTGGTGGCAAGGAACTTACTTCTTCGCACAAGCCCGACGACAACAACAACATCGATGACGTCATGGACAACAACAACTACTCTGATATCACGGACAACAACGACAACGACGTAACGCACGGTGTGGTGAAGCGCAAAGGCAAAATTAAAAGTACGACCAACACCGTCAACCGAAGCAACAACACCAATGTCCTCAACAGATTAAAAGAAATCAACAACAACATCAACAACAATGCAATGAACGATGGCAACGAGACCGACAGCCTAGCAGCTCAGTGGAAGGATGTGCTGGACTACGACAACGCAGAGTCTGATATGATTAATCTTGACGGCGATGATGACGAGGCTGCTGGCGAGGGCAATTTTGTTAGGAACAGATTTGTTATGAAAGCTGAGAACGTCAACAACAAATTTGTGAAAAATGTTGCTACGACAAGTTCAACATCTGCTGCAACAGCAACACAACCATCGGCAACGTCATCAACAGCAGCGGCAACAACGTCGTCGTCATCATCATCATCAGCAGCAGCAGCATCGTCTTCATCACAAATGTCGATGTCAGATAATTGTGCCATGCATTCGCCTGCAGGGGATGCTGATGTTTTTCATCCATTGCCCGATGCATCTGCCTCATCAACCGGCTTGCCGCAACAACAACCTCAACAAAATCAACAACATCAGCTGCAACAAAAACAGCAACAACAATCTTTGCCATATTTTTTCATTTCAACTGATACAACAGCTACAACAATTTCAACTTCTAAAATGAGCAATAATTTCAACAGTGACAACAAAAACAACAACAACAACATTGACAATTCACAACAAACTGACGACAAACGACAACACCGTCCTCAACAACACACAACCATCACGAAACCAATACCAGCTCCAAGAGTTCTGCTATCTTCATCAACTACAACTACAACAACATCATCATCATTAATAACATCATCATCAGCAGCAGCGGCAACAACAACATCATCAACATCATCAATAACATCGTCAACAACATCAACAAACGTGGTTACATCAATGTCAACAACAGCATCATCTTCAACGCCACAAGCTTCAGCTTCAACAACAACAACAACACCACTGGCTATCACTAATCAGTCAAAACTTTCACTTCATCCCATAACCAGCAACAACAAGGATGACATTATCATCAAAATCAAGAAGGATGATAATGATGATTATGATGATTATCTTGTTGAAAACGTCACCAAATTATGAGTTGTACTGTACCTTCTCTTAGCTTGTATGTATATTCATATACCTATGTTGTACGTACTATATATCTAACAAGTATATCTATATGTAATATTACGAACGCGTGTGCGTGCGTGCATGTGTGTGAGTGTGTGGTGTGTGTGTGTCTGTGTGTGTGTGTGTGCATGCGTGTGTGTGTGTAGATGATGTTTGTTGAAAATCACATAGGAAAATAATATATAAAATTACGTAGCATGTTTGTGGGCTTCTGTCCGTATGATTTCGTTGTTCAATAGAAAAATATACATTTTTTCCATTTACCTATATTGTAAATATGTTAGAAACGTTATTTCGTATATAAGTGCCGGCTTTATTAAATGCTATCATTGTACTTTTTTTATTTATTTTTAATTTTTTACTAATCTGATGTTGTCTTCATTGTTGTTATTGCTGTTGTCCTCTGCCTGTCTAACCAACTGTCTAACCAACCGAACTGGCAACAATTCAATCATCTCTTCAACAATTTCATCTAATTTTATTAAGTTTTGTCAATAATAATAATAATAAATTGGTTTTGTTCGCGGTTTAATTTAATTTAATTTAATTTAATTTAATTTAATTAAAGTTCGGTCAATCTTCAGATCGAATTAAAATGTACATTATATTATTTTTCTCCGCTGGTTCATACTTCATTCATTCATTCATTCATTCATTCATTCATTCATTCATTCATTCATTCATTCATTCATTCATTCATTCATTCATTCATTCATTCATTCATTCATTCATTCATTCATTCATTCATTCATTCATTTATTCATTTTTTTTATTAATTCACCAAATCAATCGTCATTTCATCGATTCTCATCACTTAATTGCGTTGATTAATCATATGTTACTTGCAGCCTCACATTCAAAGTCTGCAGTTACTTTTCTACCGTTATTTCCAATAGTTTTGTTTTACTACCACTTTGTTATCAACCAGAATCTATATTTCACATTTACGATTTGTATACACACACACATTATATATATATATATATATATATATATATATATATATATATATATATATATATATATATTGATTAATACTTATATTGATATATATATATATATATATATATATATATATATATATATAGATGGTTATATAGTATATTTCTATATGTACATTAACAAAGACATACGCTTGGACATATATGTTTCATTTGCTGTACGTATGTTACAAGTTAGTGTGTTCTGTATTTTTAACGCTATTTACAACATTACGTTGTGAAAAAATGTTAAGAATTCTTCGTATTAGTTCTACCTGCATGAATTGTTAATAAACGTCCGCAATTACAACAACATTACAATTACAACAACATTACAATTACAACAACATTACAATTACAACAACATTACAATTACAACAACATTACAATTATAGCAACATTACAATTACAACGACATTACAATTACAACAACATAACAATTACAACAACATTAACAATTACAAAATCACCAGCACCAATAACATCAATAGCGAACAACGCAGCCTCAGAAATTACATCAACAGTAATAACGTGATAGCGTCAGTTACTGCTGTGGCATTAACAAAATCTTCAACTTCAATACAATGGCCATATCCTCTCTATCTTAAGTAATAACAATAACAGGGCGAAATCATCCACTCAACAACAACTACAGCCACACAACAACAGCCACACAACAACAGCCTCACAACAACAGCCACACAACAACAGAAACAACAGCTGCCACACATCAACAGCCACTAAACCTCAGCCATACAACAACAGCCACACATCATCGACACAACAACATGGTTGATGAAGTTGCATTTTTTTACATGAAAAGTATACATTATTGATGCTGACTAACTAGCTAGCTGGCGAAAGCTACAGACGTACACACCGCTACTTTCATCTTCTTAGCTGGTTTGAAATACATAAATATTCATCCATTTATTCATTCTCTCGTTCGATCGTTTTATTCATTCATTTTTTCCCTCATTCATTCATTTGTTTATTCGATCATTCATTCATCTACTCATTTTTATTCTACATTATATTCATTTATTCTACTCACTGCTGCATTCAAGCTCCATTAAATCTTCTACGAAATTTAACAGCCTATTTAAAATTACGCTGGGATGCTTCGAAAACATTTCTTGTATGCCCTATATAAATAATACATATGTACCTTTATTACACATGTATATTTTATAGTATACATATATGTATATATATCTATATATATATGTTGGTAATAGACCATAATTTTTACAATATTCTATAAATTCTACCGAATGTTTGGCGTTAATATGTTTGTAGTTCGTTTTTTCGATTTTTCTCTCTAATGTTTTTTGGTGAACGTTTAGTTTATTAAAATTCAAAATAAACTTATTTTCCGAATTCATGCTGCAAATAAGGCCATATATATATATATATATATATATATATATATATATATATATATATATATATATATATATATATATATCCACACCATGTATACATAACACACATATATCATTTATATACTTTTATATATCATTGTATACATATGGATTAAGTACATTAATATATTTTTTTAATATTGTACAATTTTGTATTTGTCGTATTTAGATTGGAGACATTCGTCACTCAGTGTTGTGCCGTGCTGTGTTTGTCTTAGATTAAACCTTGTTTTTTTAAATATGTCCTCATCATAATCATATGTATAATTATTTATTTGTTTGTCTGTTTGTTTGTCTGTCTGTCTGTCTGTCTGTTTGTTAGTTAGTTTGTTGGAAAATTAAAATTTTTTAATATTTTAAACTTAATTTTTTGCTATGTTAATTCGGTGTTGTTTATAAAACCATTGTCTGAAAGATAACTTAATCAACCATTCAATGAATCACTCAATTAACCATTCAATGAACCACTCAATCGACCATTCAATCAACCATTCAATCAACCATTCAACCAAACATTCAACCAACCATTCAATCGACCATTTACGCTTGATGGGTTTGTTTGTTTAGTGGTGGAGAATGATTGATATAAATTAATTTTTTTAAGGTTACTTTTCACTATTTTTTGTCCTTTCTATTTTTTTTTTGTTTAAATTGAATTTGCATTGAAAATGATTATATTAAATTATTAATAAGAATTTGTTGACGTTCGCCGCTAAAAGCTCGTTGATATTCAAGTTGATATTCAAGTTGCGTTTCACTGAAATAAAATTATTTTGAGATTGATTGATTTTTATTACGTTATTTTAATTTTGGTGAAGCTCACAAATTTGAAAATTTTCGATTTTATTGTTTGCAATCTAAAATGTTAACTATTTTACTTTTGTTTCTTTCTTCATTGCCTTCCATCTACAAATACGTTCATTTATTCCTTCATTCAACCATCTACATATCTATTCATTCATCTATCTTTTACATCCATCTATCCATGCATCCATCTTTTCCATCCGTCCATCTATCTATCCATCTATCTATCCTAACATTTCTTTACATATTTATTCTCCCACCTACCTGTCAATCAGTTTGTCCATTTACTAGTCTAGCTTGATGAATTATTTTTTGATCACACTGCACTGCAACCGGTTATAAATTCACGGTGGCGGATTTAGGGGAATCGCGGGCCATACCCACCCATCCCCCGATGTGAGCATATTCTTATTAAAACTCGGTAAAACTCGATTTTTACGCAAGAAACAACCGGTATTTTTTTGGTACGCCAGCAATAATGTATTGGGAGTTTTGGCCCACTGTCAAATTTCAAATCTTTGGAATTTTTGGCCCCTGTTTACGTTGTCTGATTCCGTCTCTGTAAATTCAATTGCACTTTTAAACACGAAGAAACAAATAACACGTACTCCACTAATTAACTTTGCAGAATAAACTACTATTACTACTACTACTACTACTACTACTACTACTACTACTACTACTACTACTACTACTACTACTACTACTACTACTACTAACAATGGTCTACTAACAGCGTTTCATCTATCTGGTAACAAACGATGAGATGTGATTTTATAGTTTCAATTTTTCTAGCGACATCTTTGCTACCAATTGTCTCTTCTCTAACTAACCTGGCAACTAGGTAACACGGGTTGTATGCGTGTATGTAGGTCCTTGTTTAGTGAATTTTGCTCTTGTCATCAATACGAGACCCCAAAAATTTCTTCTTATTTATTACAATTTAGATTTATTTATTAAATAATTAACGTTGTTTATCTTCAAATTTTTGTTTTTATTGAAATTTATTTTTCTGATTGTCGGCTATTTTTATATCAGACACGATAGAGTTGACATCGTTGGATTAACTTTCACTCACTCACTCACTCACTCACTCACTCACTCACTCACTCACTCACTCACTCACTCACTCACTCACTCACACACACTCACTCATTCACACACTCACATACTCACTCATTCAATTCATCCAACCATTTCATCTAATCAATTCAATCAATTTCATCCAATCAATTCATCCAACCACTTCATCTAATCAATTCATCTAATCAATTCATCCAATCAATTCTTCCAATCAATTCATCCAACCAATTCATCCAATCAAAAGTGCACAAGGCTTGCCAGGTATGATGGGTGGTGTGGTGGGGCGGGTTATTTCATTGAAAGGTCGGAAGTCAAGAAGAAGAATAATGGTAATATAAATATTTTATCGTTTTTATGCTGTTTTGGTATGACTGTTGCTCTTCTTGTTATCATCTACCATTTTCATCATTGTAATTTTTTCATGTTATATACTTCTTTTTTGAAATATCAATAAAATTGAACAAACCATTCAAAGCATTGTTTTGTCATTGTTCATCCAGTTTTTTTGGCTGAAAATCATTTTATAAAATTCTCGCTTATAAATATATTTAACCTTAGGAATAATAATTTCTATTATTACTATTATAAGAGTTTATAAGAGTTTATTAAAAGCAATTAAGCATAATAAAACTAGATACATTTAAAAAAGCATTAATTTGTTTAGATGGATGTTGAA